TCCCAACTTCTTAAGGCATTCTCAGTTCAAACGCCCACGGACAAGAATCACAGATGACCAACTAAAAATCCTGAGGGCTTATTTTGACATCAATAATTCTCCAAGCGAAGAACAGATCCAAGAAATGGCAGAGAAATCTGGCCTGTCTCAAAAAGTGATCAAACACTGGTTTCGAAATACTCTTTTTAAAGAACGACAGAGAAATAAGGATTCACCGTACAACTTCAGTAACCCTCCTATAACTGTTCTGGAAGACATCAGAATTGACCCACAACCCACCTCTTTAGAACATTACAAATCTGATGCATCCTTCAGTAAGAGGTCTTCTAGAACAAGGTTTACTGACTACCAGCTTAGAGTTCTGCAAGACTTTTTTGACACCAATGCTTACCCAAAAGATGATGAAATAGAACAACTCTCCACTGTTCTCAACCTACCTACTCGGGTTATTGTTGTATGGTTCCAGAATGCCCGTCAGAAAGCACGAAAGAGTTACGAGAATCAAGCAGAAACTAAAGATAATGAAAAAAGAGAACTCACGAATGAACGGTATATTCGAACAAGCAACATGCAGTACCAATGTAAAAAGTGCAATGTGGTTTTCCCCAGGATCTTCGACTTGATCACGCACCAGAAAAAGCAGTGTTATAAGGATGAAGATGATGATGCCCAAGATGAAAGCCAAACGGAAGATTCCATGGATGCCACGGATCAGGTGGTCTACAAGCATTGCACAGGGTCTGGCCAAACAGAGGTAGCCAAAACCACGGCCGCTCCTGCCGCAAGCTCTGGCTCTGGAACTAGCACCCCCCTGATTCCATCACCCAAACCAGAACCCGAGAAGGCATCTCCGAAACCTGAGTATCCCACAGAAAAGCCAAAGCAGAGTGACCCCTCTCCCGCTCCTCAAGGCACCAAGCCAGTCCCGCCCTTAGCATCGACTTCCTCAGACCCGCCGCAGGCATCCGCTGCCCTGCCACAGCCACCAAAACAACCCCAACTAATTGGAAGACCTCCCTCGGCCTCTCACACCCCGGTCCCCTCCAGTCCACTGCAGATTTCCATGACTTCTCTCCAGAACAGTCTACCTCCGCAGTTACTACAATACCAATGTGATCAGTGTACAGTTGCCTTCCCCACCCTGGAACTCTGGCAGGAGCACCAGCACATGCACTTCCTCGCTGCTCAAAACCAATTCCTTCACTCGCCGTTCTTGGAAAGGCCCATGGACATGCCCTACATGATCTTCGACCCCAACAACCCGCTGATGACTGGTCAGCTGCTGAGTGGTTCTCTCACACAGATGCCACCTCAGACCAGTTCCTCTCACTCCGCTGCCCCGGCGACAGTTGCTGCTTCCCTCAAAAGGAAACTGGACGACAAAGAAGAGAACAACTGCAGTGAAAAAGAGGGAGGGAACAGCGGGGAGGACCAGCACCGCGACAAACGCCTGAGAACCACCATCACCCCGGAGCAACTGGAAATCCTCTACGAAAAATACTTGCTGGATTCCAATCCTACCAGAAAAATGCTTGACCACATCGCGCGGGAAGTGGGGCTGAAGAAACGGGTGGTGCAGGTCTGGTTCCAGAACACGCGGGCGCGGGAGCGCAAGGGCCAGTTCCGGGCGGTGGGGCCCGCGCAGTCTCACAAGCGGTGTCCCTTCTGCCGAGCGCTGTTCAAAGCCAAGTCCGCCCTGGAGAGCCACATTCGCTCCCGCCACTGGAACGAAGGCAAGCAGGCCGGCTACAGCCTGCCCCCGAGCCCTTTGATAGCCACCGAGGACGGCGGAGAGAGTCCTCAGAAATACATTTACTTCGATTATCCGTCTCTGCCGCTGACCAAAATCGATCTGTCGAGCGAGAACGAATTGGCGTCCACGGTGTCCACGCCTGTGAGTAAAACCGCGGAGCTGTCGCCGAAGAATCTGTTAAGCCCGTCTTCCTTTAAAGCGGAAGGGTCTGAGGATGTGGAGAACTTAAACGCCCCTCCCCCCGAGACTGGGTACGACCAAAATAAACCCGACTTTGACGAGACCTCGTCCATCAACACGGCTATCAGCGACGCCACCACGGGCGACGAGGGCAACGCGGAGATGGAGAGCACCACCGGAAGTTCCGGCGACGTGAAGCCCGCCATGTCGCCCAAGGAACCCAAAACGCTCGACGCGGGGCCTAAGACTGCAAGCACCCCTACCGCGGAGGTCTGCGATGACAAATTTCTCTTTTCCCTCACGAGTCCGTCGATCCATTTCAACGACAAGGATGGCGACCATGACCAAAGCTTTTATATCACCGATGACCCGGATGACAACGCTGACCGCAGCGAAACATCCAGCATAGCTGACCCGAGCTCCCCAAATCCGTTTGGATCCAGCAACCCTTTTAAATCGAAAAGTAACGACAGGCCAGGTCACAAGCGTTTCCGAACCCAGATGAGCAACCTTCAGCTCAAGGTTCTCAAAGCCTGCTTCAGTGACTACCGCACACCCACCATGCAAGAATGCGAAATGTTGGGGAATGAGATCGGGCTGCCCAAACGCGTGGTCCAGGTGTGGTTTCAAAACGCAAGGGCGAAGGAAAAGAAATTTAAAATCAACATAGGGAAGCCTTTCATGATCAATCAAAGTGGAACAGAAGGCACCAAACCAGAGTGCACCCTGTGTGGGGTGAAGTACTCTGCCCGCTTGTCCATCAGAGATCATATTTTCTCCAAACAGCACATTTCCAAGGTGAGGGAGACTGTTGGCAGCCAGCTGGATCGTGAGAAAGATTACTTAGCTCCCACAACCGTGCGGCAGCTGATGGCGCAGCAAGAACTTGATCGCATAAAGAAAGCTTCAGATGTGCTGGGCTTGACCGTCCAGCAGCCAGGCATGATGGACAACAGCTCCCTCCATGGCATCAGCCTGCCAGCCACCTACCCAGGACTCCCCGGCCTTCCACCAGTCCTTCTGCCTGGAATGAACGGCCCGTCCTCCTTGCCTGGATTCCCACAAAATTCAAACAGTAAGTCATTTAAAAGACAGTCAAGTGTAGCTAATTAACATTTTTTTAAAAGATTTATTTATTTGAAAGGCAGAGTTACAGAGAGGCAGAGGCAGAGAGAGAGAGAGAGAAAGAGAGAGAGAAAGAGAGGTCTTCCATCTGCTGGTTCACTCCCCAGATGGCCTCAACTGTCGGAGCTGGGCTGATCAGAAGCCAGGAGTCAGGAGCTTCTTACAGGTCTCCCACGTGGGTGCAGGGGCCCAAGCACTTAGGCCATCTTCCACTGCTTTCCCAGGCCATAGCAGAGAGCTGGATTGGAAAAGCAGCAGCCGGGACTCGTACTGGTACCCATATGGGATGCCAGTGCTTCAGCCCAGGGATTTAACCCGCTGTGCCACGGTGTCGGCCCCGCTAGTTAACATTAGATAGCCAACCACGTGCAACCAAGAGGATGGTGCATTTGAATTGTTAAAAATATCAATAAGTGAAATCAATAAATTATTTGAAATATAGATTGATTGATTGATTGACTACAGCTAATAACCAGGAAGTAAGGCAACTTGGTCATATGCAGAAAAATGAATGTTTGATAGCTCATAGCAGATTCTCAAAAATGTATTGTTTGTGGCATTATCTTTTTTTTTGTCTTAGAAATACCACTTTTTTGGGGCTGGTGCTGTGGCACAGTGGGTTAAAACCCTGGCCTGACGCGCTGGCATCCAATATGGGTGCCGGTTCTAGTCCTGGCTGCTCCTCTTCCGATCCAGCTCTCTGCTATGGCCTGGGAAAGCAGTGAAAGATGGCCCAAGTCCTTGGGCTGCACCTGCGTGGGAGACCTGGAAGAAGCTCCTGGCTCCTGGCTTTGGATCGGCACAGCTCTGGCCATTGCAGCCATCTGGGGAGTGAACCAGAGGATGGAAGACCTCTCTCTCTGTCTCTCTCTCTGTGTAACTCTGACTTTCAAATAATTAAAATAATTAAAAAAAAGATATACCACTTTTTATACTGATTTCTTTTTTTAAAAAAAGATTTTATTTATTTATTTGAGAGGTAGAGTTACAGACAGAGAGAGAGGTCTTCCATTCACTGGTTCATTCCCCAAATGGCTGCAATGGCCAGAGCTGGGCTGATCTGAAGCCAGGAGCCAGGATCTTCTTCCAAGTGGGTGTAGGGGCCTAAGCACTTGGGCTATCTTCCACTGCTTTCTTAGGCATAGCAGAGAGCTGAATCTTGGAGCAGCCGAGCCTGGAACTGGCGCCCATATGGGATGCCAGCACCACAGGCGGAGGCTTAGCCCACTATGCCACAGTGCCGGCCCCTGTGCTAATTTCAATACTGATTTTTCAGGTGCCATCCCAATGCAAACATATAATATTTGCCACACATATTCAGAGACCAAAACATTAAGTAATACGTTATTTGATTTCTTAATTTACTTTCTAAGGGGCAGGATTTTTTGTTTTGTTTTGTTTATTTTTTGTTCATTTCTTTTTTCTCTGTAAGTCCCATGAAGTTCAAAATTTAAGGTTGCTAGCCGCAGCAGTTCATTCACCAGGCACTTAGCAGTTCACAAAAATTATATTTAAGGTTGAATGATTAAAAATAAGACTTATCTGAGCATTCCGAAGTTAGCATTGATATAAGATTTTGATTTTTGTAGCATCCAGTGCTACTTTTTATTTAAATAAATCCACAACCTTAGAAATACATTATTATTACTCCATGCCTTTCTACCTCTGCTGCCACCAATTTTGGCAGCAAAAACAAAATTAGAAAGCTGTCTGTGGCAACCCCAAATGTTGAATCCAATTCTGTGTTCATCAAGAGAAATGTAATGTGTGCAGTTTGGATTTTGTGACTAAGGATTGAAATTCAGTTACATTAGATTGAATATAGTGTAAATATATTGAATGTAGACAATCATAAAACCCAAAAAATAACAAAACTTAAATCTGACTCAAAATATAGCAACAACATGGTTCTCTCATGATTTCTTCTTTTAAGTAAGTTTTATTTTGTAAATTATTAGTCTTTTTTTAAAAAAAAAGATTTATTTATTTATTTGAGAGGCAGAGTTAGAGACAGAGAGGGAGACACAGAGAGATCTTCCATCCACTGGTTCACTCCCCAAACGGATGTCGCAATAACGGGTGCAGGGCCTGTCCAAAGCAAGGAGCTTTCTTCTGGGTCTGTTACATGGGTTCAGGGGCCCAAACACTTGTGCCAACTTCTACTGCTTTCCCAGGTGCATTAGCAGGGAGCTGGATTAGAAGTGGAGCAGCCGGACACGAACCAATGTCTTTATGGGAAACTGGTGCCACAGGCAGACATTTAGCCAACTATACCACAGCACTGGCCCCATAGTGTTTTCTTTTTAGAAGGAAAAATTGACATTTTAAAGCAACATCTACAATTCACTAATTACTTGTGAGCACACTTCCATAAGTTCATGGAAAAATGGAATTTATAGAATAAGTTTATTTTGCAACAGAAAATTTGAAATCCATAACATACATTTTTTCATAATATTCATTTTACATGAACTTTTGGAAGTGCTCTTATGTATATACAAAGTTTACCAAAAAAATGAGGAAAGCTTTTGCTTTTTCATTTTCACAAATTGACTTTTAAATGTTTCAATTCCATCCTTCTCTTACAGAAAACAAAATTATCATTGTGATCTTAAGGAGTTATTTCTCTTTTCACTTTTATGTTGGGAGGTATAAAAATGATTTCCAATGGGTTCTAGCCATTGATAACCCACCTGGCTCCCTGTTTTGAGTGACTTGTTGGTTTTAGAGAGACATGGAGAGGAGCTGTATGTGTAAACAGTGTTACCAATAAAATGTTTGCAATGCCTCTTCTTTTAACTATCACAACAATTCCTGTCTCCCCCAAAAGTACTTTTGGCTTAATTACCTGGAAAATTCATTAAATATTACAGCTACAATAGCAGTGTCTTGGTTATGCATTTTAGTTAACTCAAATATAAGTGTTTTAAGGATAATACAGTGACAATTTTTTGTGCATAAATAGTATTAGTTTGATTCATTTCTAGTCCCACTTTCTATACTACTGTGATTATTGGCACAGAGAATGCCTTATATAGAAGAGCCCCATGATCATTTATGTAAAATAGTTTTTTTAAAAAATATTTTACAGGGGCTAACAATAGTTGAGGTATCTGTGCCTTTAAATTCACAAGTATGCTTTGATTGATGACCCCTGTGTTGTCACCCTTGTAAGTGGTGGTCAAAATATCTTGTCTTTCTCTCTCACTGGGTCAGAGTTCCTTTGCTGGGACCATGGTTCCTGCCATCTGCCCTTCTGGGTTGTCACTCTGCTGCTGTCACCAATAGCGTCTGTATGAGAGAAAGTGAGAAGGAAGGGGGAGAGATTATTTATGATATATTTGAACAAACTAACATTTTCCCCCATTCTACTCACCATCAACATAATTAATATCCTTCACCTGAAATGGGAGCCCTGTTTATAATTGTCAGCATTCTTGGGAGATGTTGGAGGCATCCCTCCAGGCTGAGAATATCTTAATATACCATATACTGAGAAACTCAGTGCTGTTGTATGTATCGCTTTATTAAAATCCTGGACCCAAACAGACCAAAGAGTGTTGTAGAGTCAGTAACTCTATGAACACTGCTACCTACTGGAATTTTTAATTTCCCTTGAATTACTCCTTTGTTTGTGAGAGAATTTAAGCATTAGCACAGTGGAGTTATCAGTGAGACTCCATCTGAGAGCTTGAATTCCCACATTTCCAGTTCACCTCTCTTTTAGGTTAATTTACCTGTGGTGGGGAATGTGAAATATTTGAACCTACTCATAGAGTACAGCATCATATTTCCATCATCATCTTCCTAGTGTATTATTACTTTCATCAAATAAGTATCTTCTTTGCTTTATAGGAGAAAGACATACCAGCTAGGTGTAATCAAAAGAAAAAAAATACTTCATAAGTAAAATATTTCAGTATTTATTATAGGTGCTGGGATCTTGCTACAATTTATTATCTATAGGAAAATACTTTGAGAATATGACAGGATCATCTTGGACCCATTTTGATAGGACCTAGTTGTCCCTTCCTTCCTTTGAAGGTAGATTTCAAGGTTTTGATCTTAAGGAAATTACTAGAAAGGTGCTATAGTGAATATGAGATGTACAGTAAAGTAAGGAGTTTGTCCAATGACCAGACCCCTAAATGAGCTTAATGGAAATGGCATATTCAGTTTTAGTATTTATCAATCTCTAAATTTCCTGATTCAAACATCTATCTTATTTTATTTGGGGTGGGGAGGGGGGTGGAATTGCTGTTCTGATTGGATATCAGCTTGAAAGCTCACAGAACACATTGACTTTCCAAGAAATCTTCAAATTATTTAGTCCTTCCAGATCACCAGGAAGGCCCTCTCAACAGAATGTATATCATGTGTGCTGTTTCTGAAACAGAAGTCCAATGCCACATTTAGTATTACTACTAATTATTGCTCATTTTTAAATAAATTATTTTCTGCCTTAACATTTTTTCACATTTCAGTTTTTTCTACCATGATAATATGCAAAATGGAAAAGTGACAATAGAAAATCACATGCTTGTATGCCTAGAAAAAAATTAGATAACTTTGAGTTCACATTTTGTCTTCTATGGCACTGGCTTCCATTGTCATTTAGGTGAATAGAAAATGACTTGATTTTCTATTTTTAATCATTTTAGCAGTGTATGATTTTTTAAATTATTTTAAAAAAATATTTATTTGAAAGGCAGAGTTACAGAGAGGAGAGACAGAGAGGTCTTCCATCTGCTGGTTCACTCCCCAGATGGCTGCAATGGTTGATGCCGGGCCAGGCTAAACCCAGGACCTGGAGCTTCTTCCAAGTCTCCCACTTGGGTGCAGTGATCCAAGCACTTGGGCCATCCTCCACTGCTTTCCCAGGCACATTAGCAGGGTGCTGGATCAAAAGTGGAGCAGTTGGGTCTCGAACTGGTGCCCATATGGGATGCTGTATGTTTAACCTGCTACAGCACAAAGCTAGCCTCAACACTGTCTGATTTTAAATGTTCCTTTCCTATTTAGAAATACAACCTAACCCAGGTTCCTTAAATGGAACTTTAGAACATGTCTTCACACTTCCACATGATTTACTAGCATGTTTGGAGTAAACCTTTTCTCTCTGGAAGGCTTAGGTCAAATAAACTCGGAGGAAAAGAAGTACATGTAAGGGCATTGTGAGAAACACATATTCTTTGGAAAGCATTACATTCAGGAATAGGTAGCTGTTTGAGGATAACAAAGCAAAACAACGATGATAGTATAAAGTTATTCCCAGAAAAATGCTTTATCACTAGGTAATAAAATTTCAAAGAATTGAAGCAGGAGTTGAGAAATAAGTAAATATATATCTGCATCACACAGATAAGTTGCTAAAAACATGGAAATTTGATACGTACTTAGTTTTAGTTTTTAGTTTACCACCACTTATTCTGTATAAAGAATACTTCAAAAATCTGTGGAAAAAATGAATTAAAAGATAAGTTTATTCTGGCTCAAAAACTTTAAAATCCATGCATGATTTTTCTGTAATACACAATTTTTCACAAACTTTTTGAAAACCCCTTAAAATAAACGATTTCAAAAATTTTTAGGGACCAGTGCTGTGGTGTAGTAGGTTAAGCATCTGCCTGTTGTGCCATCATCCCAAATGGACACCAGTTTGAGTCACTTCCAATCCAGCTCCCTGCTGATGGACTGGAAAAGCAATGGAAGATGGCCCAAGTGCTTGGGTCCCTGCACCCACTTGGGAAACCTGGAAGAACCTTCTGGCTCCTGGATTCTGTTTGGCTCAGCTCCAGCCGTTACAGCCTTTTGGGGAGTAAAACAGTTGATGGAAGATCTCTCTCTGTCTATAATTCTGCCTCTCAAGTAAACAAATAAAACTTAAAAAGAAATTTTAGACAAAAATAAATTTATCTTTTAATTCTGAATTCTATAATCTTTTAAGTACCCACATTTTTTTAAAAAAATAAAGGATGCATTAAGTTTTTTTTTGTTGTTGTTTTTAATTTGAGAGGTTAGAGGAAGACAGAGTGAAAGAGAGAGAGCTCTCCAATCTGCTGGTTCATTCTCCAAATGCCCACATCAACCTCAGGTTGTGCTGTGTGCCACAGATGGGAGCGAGGAACTCAATGTAGATCTCCTACATGAGTAGCAGGAACCCAATAACTTGAGGGCCATTGCCACTGCCTTTCAAGAAGTTTGCATTGGCGAAAAACTAGAGTCAGGAGCAGAGCTGGGTATTGAACTCAAGGTTCTCTGGTGTGGAACATGGGCCTCTTAACTGCTAGACAAGTGCCCTTGTCTGCTGAATTTTTGACTGCAATTTTTTAACAGGCTAATATCTTTTACTGGTAAGCCACAAAGTATGTACCCTGTTACTCTTAATTTGTATGTTTTTCTAAAAATCTTTTAACAGCTGAGTATTTGACTCAGCTATTCTTCAGGATGTTGTGTTCTGAAAAATCCCTGGTAACTGTTGACTATATTACCTAGGGTTCTTTTTGTTATTTTTAAAAAATTTCCATTACTTCTTTTTATGGCCTCTAAATAGGAGCCTGTAAATCCCATCTGATGGGAAAGCCTGAGTCAACAGCTATTGATCCATCTTTACCTTCCAACAACAATTATTATTTTTTCATGTCTCTTCATTCCTTTAAATTCCTTATCTTACATTCTTATGTCAGAGAAATAAGGGAGCCAGTGAATTCTTTAGATTGAGGAGGAAAAATGTACTGGGTGTAAGGGGGTACAACTATTGCTATGAAGTTGTGCTCACACTAGACCTAGAACTGAGACACACTTTATGAGTAGACAGACAAATCTAGTATGAACATAGTGTAATTCTAGCCATGCAAAGAAGATTCTTGTCTTTATTCATTCCTCTCATACATCTGCAAACTTAAGCTACTTTTATTTAAGTTAATTTCAAATATGGGTGCCACTCTTCAGTAGGTATGTGTGGGTATATACTATCAGTTTGTCATGGATATACAATGTTATTTTCAAATATTTTCCCTTCACTTCCATTCTGAGTATTTTTTAAAATATTTAGTTATTATTTGAAAGGCAGAGTTACAGAGAGGCAGAGAGAGAGAGTTCGTCCATCCACTGGTTCACTCCCCAAATGGCCACAACAGCTTGAGCTGGGCCAAACTAAAGCCAGGAGCCAGGAGCTTCTTCTGGGTCTCCCACACGGGTGCAAGAGCCCAAGACTTGGGCCATCTTCTTCTGCTTTCCCAGGCCACAGCAGAGAGCTAAATCAGCAGTGGAGCAGCCAGGACTTGAACCGGCACTCATGGGATGCCAGGCACTGCAGGCAGCAGCTTTACCTGCTACACAACAATGCTGGCCCCCATTTTGAGTATTTTCATTATTTAATGCTTGAATACAATTAGAGCTGAAGATAAAATTGGGTAGCTGTAACATTTAGTCTCCTCCAACCCATCTACCATGGAGTCATAGATTTGTCACTTTCAAAGACCTAATGTCCCTAGGATTCCATTTTTTTTTTTAAGAGGATTTCTTTTTAAAGATTTACTTATTTATTTGAAAGTCAGAGTCACACACAGAGAGCAGGAGGTTCACTCCCCAGATGATCACAATGGCAGAGCTGCGCTGATCCGAAGCCAGGAGGAGGAGCTTCTTCCAGGTCTCCCACACGGGTGCAGGGGCCTAAGCAATTGGGCCATCTTCTACTGCTTTCACAGGCCATAGCAGAGAACTGGATTGGAAGTGGAGCAGCCAGAGCTCAAACCAGCGCCAATATGGGATGCCAGCACTGCAGGAGCTGGCTTTACCTGCTATGCCATAGCGCCAGCCAACTCAATTTTCTTATTTAAAAAAAATAATTTTTGTCTCTATTCTCACTCATTATTGAAGATGTTGGGAGACTATTCTATAACATTGTGGAACCTCCTTATAAACTATCAATATTCCAACTACAGAAATTATTCCAAAGCAGGTCAGAGAGAGTTAGGTGTGTTGATGTTCAGAAGAGGAGATGCCAATAATAAATTAGGTTAACTGAGAGTAATATTGGAAAGATAAATATTAATGAGAGAGTGATGTTGAACAGTCCACATAAGAACCCCCACAAATTCCAAAATTTATGGATACTCAAGTCTCATATATAATAATATATCAATATTTGCATATAACCTAAGTACCTCCTAAATACATTTAATTATCTCTAGATCACTTACAATGCTGAATACATTGTAAGTGCTATATAAATATTTGGTATTCTGTAATATAATTGGACTAATGACTGGAAGAAAAATATATACATG